GCTTTTCAGACCGATGAGCTTTGTAAAAATCAACGAGTTTCAGAAAGGCGGGGCATAGAGGAGAAACAATAATGTACAGTATGTGGAAAATAATGTGTTTTTGAACCTTAAACCACATAAACACATTGCATTACACCAAATACACAAAATAATGTTATTTTTAGCAACATCATAGTACCCCTTTAAAACAGACAATATCAGTATTTTGCATGTGTCTTTTGGGAACAGGACCATACCGAGAACCTTGGTTACATGTTGGGTCTTCAGTCCTTCGCAATCAGCTGGACTGCAAAGTTTCCCTTCATCCTGAAAGCTTTGAGTAGCATTTGTGAGCACTTTTGCAATCTAAATAATTATTTTGAGCTCTTCATTCAAACACATTATCATGCCTGTCCTTTTGTTTTGCTTTAGTTAACCCAAAAAAGTCAATTTGATGAATATGTTCTCCAAGCATCCGAGATGTTTGATTCTTCATCAGAACAAATTTGGATTTAGCATTATATCAAATGGATTATCAATTGGATATCAATGGCATTATATCACAAAATGGATCTTCTGCAGTGAATGGGTGCCGTCAGAATGAGAGTCCAAACAGCTGATAAAAACATCCTAATAATCCACACAACTCCAGTCCATCAATTAACGGCTTGTTGCGTGTCCTAAGACGTTTTTAACTTTAGTCATGCCGCTTGGGTGAGGAACTGGAGTGGTGTGGATTACTTGTGGATTGTAGTGATGTTTTTATCAGCTGTTTGGACTCTCATTCTGATGGCACCCATTCACTGCAGAGGATCTTTTGGTGAGCAATCTGTTATGATGATAAAATAAACTCATCTACATCTGGATTGCCTAAGGGTTAGTGCGTTTTCATTTTTAGGCAAATTATTCCTTTAATAAAATAGTTGTGCACAAATTTCATAATGAATTCAATGTCAACAGAACATTAGATGAAAGAACAGTCACAAACTACTGTATAACTAACTGTATATGCACTTTGTATAAACTGTCCAATTGTGTCTTTTCTGTCTTTGCAGAATAGAGGAGAGCAGAATTCTGCAGTGCAGGTGTCCTCTAGAGTTCTGTCTTCTGTAGCTGGGTCTCTGTATGCCTCTGCCATTCTTCTCTACGACTCACAGCTAAGATCTGTAATCAAAGCAATGCCATGGATACTCTCTGCTAGGAGCTGTGCGATTCTGGATCTTTCTGTATCCTTTGACACAGACTGTAAGTGACTCAGGGTCTGGAAAGTGACTGGTACATTAATGTACCAGTGTTCTCAGTCTACTCTTTAACTTTGATTTTTCAGATTGTGGTCCTCATCTGTTACAGATCCAACCATAAACGCCCTTCTGTCCGGTCTCTAGACTCGGATACTGAATCTTTACTAGGTGACTCTTCTGTCACGGGTCAGCTGCGCAACAACAATGTTGAATGCTGCAGGATGAAGCACCTCTCAGCAAGAGGCATTTCTCCCAAAGGGACTGACATGGGACTTTACATGGATGTCAACATACAGCCAATCAGGAAGGTTTGCTCTTGTTATGGTGTGTTGTTGAACAGTCCATAAGGTATGGT